TTTCATGTTTTTTATTTGGAAATCTTGTTTGTTGATAAATATTCGCCGCAGTGTTTCTAGCATTTAACCTCTTTTATTCTCGAATTATCGCGTTTACATTAACTGAGAAGCTTGAGATGTTGTGGATCCAAAGAACAGAAGGTCTACCAAAGAACTACACTAAGCGGTTGCGTTATGCTTGCGTATGCTAATGCGGGCAAGGACATTGAGTTGGAAATTGACAAAACGACACTGTGAAAGTGATTGTTCTTGACTCTTTCCACTACAAAGGCTTCGTTCCCTACTGTAAGCTACCGGCACAGTTGTATAGTTCGCTATTCAATGATTTTTCAAGTTATTTGCTTTAGGTGCTTTTATAAGCCGCCGCTTTCATAACATGAAAGTCCTAAGAGTGTCGAAATCGTGCTTTTACAAAGACATGAGAAATCTACGACATCGCTGCAAAAATCTTGAGGAGTCGTCCTAATTGTTCACAAACCAGTCTAATTCCCAGCAGTCATTGTATCTCTTCATAGTACGGTTTTTAGAGCGCATGTGGCGCAGTGGTTGGAGGTGCTCTGCGCCACACACGAGGTCAATGGTTCGATCTCGCGCTCATGGCTCAGCAAGCCATCCATCCCTCCGGGGTCGGTAAATTGGTACCAGACATGTCTCAGACTTGTCTGGGAGGATAAGCAGCACTGACTCAATTCAGCGGGAGGCCACCGCGAGTCATTGTAAGAGCCAGATGTGCATTCAATCACCTCAAACGAAGTTAAAAAAAAATTGAAGTCGAATGCATGGCGCATCCATCAGGGATTGATCGACGCCAAGAGCTTTATCCTTTATCCTTTTTTACGGTTTTTACTTCAGTAAATTAGAGTCGAAGTTTTTGACTTCATAATTTTTATGGATTAAAAAAATACCTTGAAGTCGTGGTCCGCTGTAGTACAACTGAACCCATGTAGCATGGCGGACGCGTGGTACGATTCATAAGTGTCTAGCGAGAGTTGGTTGAGCAGTTTTGACTCAGGCCGTCCACTCCGTTATCCAGACAAAACTCCCAATACTGTTGTTCTTTTCGCCCTAAAATTCAGTTTTTGTACTTGACTCGCTTACTGTCTCTTCCCTTTAGTCACCTGTGATCCCGTTGATCGTCGAGTGACTGTAGTGGGTATCAGAACTTCTCACTATCTATGTCACGTTAAAGAGTAATCATTGGTTCCTCCTTGCTGTGAAAACTTGTTGAGTATCACACCTTTCTTCTATAATTCTGTGAAATTGAAAAAAAAACGTAAATGAAGTGTATGAGCGTGGTGTTTCCTGTCATCAAAAATGGAATGTTTGCTGGTTTGCAGAAATTAAACTGCTCAGTGAAATTTATCCGTGATAAAACTCATTTAAATGGAACAAGTTTGAAACTGATCAGACATTTCGAATTATTCCTCAAAATTGTTTACCATGTATTAGTTGTTGGAAGAGTCGTAATCCACGAAAGGAATTGTTATCTAAACATCACAGTTAACAATACAAAAGACTTTTGCAGAAATCTTATTAGTGTTATGAATCCTGTATATCTGGAATAATGTGAGCTTGATATTTCCTTACAAGAGCCACCAGATATCTTATTGTGACAATCCACTGGTCACTCCGAAGCAAGTCTTGCCAACAGTAGAGAATCATTATGACTTTATAACTGACCTTAGTATGCTTAAGCGTTAATCTCTCGTTCACCGGACTGTCTGCTCTCTGTTGATAGATTATGGGGAAGAAATGTGATTTCTTTTTGATTTCCTTGAAATACTTAGAATAGATTGCTGTGTGATCGTTTGTGACCACTAGAAGTTCTGCTTGCTCATAGCTTTCTATGCAGTGGTTAGACGTACTTGCGAGACACAAATGTTCGCCGATTCTGCTCCACACCACAATAAAATGGAAGATATCACTTTGAAGTTGGCTCATTTGTGCCATAGTAGTTCCAAAGAATAAGAACACTAAATTGATGTAATCTTAAAGCTGACAAGTGTTTCAAACCTGCTATGATCATTCGATGTAATCTGAGTAAGTATTTCAAGTCTTTCGAGCTCGATGTCTAGTGTCTTACCTACGTTTTGGCATTTTCGCCCGCCTCTTCAGAGCCACACACCCCATTAGTCACACCTGCCGATAGTAGGGAACGCGGAATCATGTTAGGATCAGACGTGAAATATTGCTTGAATCATCTTTCAGTCGACAGTATGTCTCTAGGTCCACCAAATTCAATGTAAATATGAGCACGACGTTTCTAGGGAGCAAAAATAAAGGAGCTAAAAAAGGTAATTTGATTGATGCAATCATATCGGTGCTGTCGAACAAGCATCACTTTATCAGAACGATCCAGCTCGAAACTTAATCATGATTAGTAGGATTTCAGTAGGTTTGCAGATGAAATGAAAAAAAGCTGGTCGCAATCCACAGAGTAAATTCAAAGATGTCCCTTAAGAAGCTTAATCCATGGTTAAATTCCGCTTAATCGTTTTTATCAATAATGGATGTCGCTTGTGCGAATCCTTTCAGAACGTTTTCCCAATGATTAGGACTAAACTGCGACCGCTTCTATTCAAGGGCCATGTTCTCCTCTTGAAAATGTTGAGTTCAGTGGATCCAGTGAAAAGTTCAGTGAGACCGTTGCGTTACCACCAAATGCTGTCTTACTCATCAATGTTTCACTGAAGCTTCTTGGGTTTTCTTCTTCTACTTCTTAAAAATGCCTGACATTGTAACGTTGCGGCTCTTTCTAGCAGAGTATCTCAAACTCACATTGGTTAGCGAACACCTATCCGGTAATTATTTTATTGAACCAACATGTCATGTGGTCTTTTATGGGCACTTATAGAGCCGAATAGACGTGTTTCGGCCTCAAGAAAAAACGACACAAACACGTCAACTGATGAAGAAATTCATAAATTCCCTCGATTTTCTGCTCTATCTGATAGATACCTCACTTAGTATTGCTCTTCGTACATCCTGTAGCACATGGTCTCACTATCAGCTGACACGGAGAATTGTCAAGAACAATCGCCCTGTATAAAGGAACGCTGCGAGTGAGATAATGTCATTCCCCGGTACTTCATTGGATTCGACTTAAAGCGAAAATTCACACCAGAAGAAAGAAAATTCACGAAAATTCACACCAGAAGAAAGAAGATCTCTGAATTTTGGTGATATGTCTTTCGTTTCTAGTGTTTTCTTGAGACCACAGCTCAAATTTCAATATACCAAAAAATCATTTTTGAGCCATGCATGTCGTGTGTCTGCTAATAAAAGGGCTGACTTATAGAGCCCGATACACGTGTTTCGACCTTGCAGTCTCGTCAGTCGGGCAGTCATACTTTCTTCTTTTGCTAATTTCTGTGGGTGCCCCTTCCCCACATTAAGAGTCAGCGACGACGAACGTTTTACACTCTATGACCAGTGAAATTATCACCGAACACAGAGTGTTGTACACTCGCTTGCTCTTGGCTAGTATATTCAATATATCATATCGTTTCGAGTGTTTTCTTAAGACCACAGCTCAAATTCCAATAAGCCAAATAATCATTTTTCATTTCCACTGAACATAGAGTGTAAAACGTTGGTCGTCGCTAACTCATAGTGTGGGGACTGGACTACCCACACAGGATTGGCAAAAGACGGGAAAGGGTAACTGTCCGACTGATGAGACTACAAGGTCGAAACACGTGTATCGGGCTCTATAATTCAGCCCTTTTATTAACAGACCACACGACATGCATGGCTCAAAAATGATTTTGTAGCATATTGAAATTTGGTGAGATGGTTTACCCTTCTTGAACTTCTTTTTCATCACGTCGATATTAATATCGTTATAGAATGGTGATATTTTGTTTGTAAAATCTTTATATAGCTTACGAATAATCCTTCTGTATAGAGTATCGATGCGGTGGTTGTCCAAAGCTTTGATGACTGCTTCTGTTTCTACTGCATCAAAGGCCGCCTTCATATCGACGAGAGTGAGGCACAGCGATTTCTGGTACTATCGCGAAAATTCATTGAGTTTTGTCACTGTGTGGATGTGGCCTATGCTACTGAATTTTTTCGAAACCCAGACTTTTCGCAAAACTGCCGTTTGCCCAGTGTTTTGTCAATTCCGCTGAGGACAGACAATTCAACTGAAGCGTTCATAGACGACAGACAGCAAGCAGATGGGGCGATAGGTGGAGGGTCGCGAAGGTCTCCTTTTCTGAACAGTATTTAGGCCTTTCTGGTTTTCCATATTTCATTATTATTTGAGCCAACTTGTCATGTGGTCTGGTAAGGGCTCTTGTACAGCCCGATACACATGGTTTCGTCCTTACAGACTCGTCAGTCGGGCACAACCCGTCGTCTTTCGATATTTTTATAGTCAGTTCTCTCGGGAGCTCCACTCCCTTACAAGAGTCATCGAAGACAAACGTTTTACAATCTAAGTCAAGTGAAATTTTCACCTAACACAGAGTGTTGCGCACTCGATTACTCTTTTGCTGGTATTTTATCATATTATACCTTTATTTCGAGTGCTTTATGTAGTGCGAAAGAGTAGAGTGCAAAACGAGCATCGGTGGTGCAACGGTTAAGCACATGCTCCCGGAAAGAGTAAGATATGGGTTTAAATCACGGCTGACGCAAACGTTTTTGCACACAATTCTACATCATTGGGTTTATTCAAACATCATAACGCCGCAATCGGCGGTCAAATAAAGATGATTTCCGATTGATGCTAGAGCATTTGCAAATTCTACATTCCTGCGTTGAAGATAGGCCCTACCACATGTCCGGCATTCTTTATAAATATAGGCCGCACGTTAATGCAATGAAGGAAAGTACTCAGCCGCGTATGTCGTCACTCCTAGAATATGCTCTGTGTGCATTGGTGCGTTGTCATGCTTTTTTCTAAACTCTCACAATTCTCATACAATCGATTATCTTGAAGAACAAAACAGTTCCATATACATCTAAGAGAATTGAGTGGTGAGCAAAGACACGACCTCAGGAGGGAATCGAACCGCGTTTCATCCATACCGGGGATATGTGCTATACCACTACACCACCGAGGCACATTGGTTTGGCACAATAAAGCAGTTTATATAGAGTATTATTCAATTATAGATAATGATGACGGTATGCCTAGCTTATAAACCTGTTTTAACCTTTTTGTTCCATTGTATGCCATAAGGGCATAGTCTTCGCATCTGTTCCATGTTTGCCTTTCTAGTTCGCTTAATCTTTGCGGACGATGAGGTTCAATATGATCCCCCCAGCTGGGCGCGCCATTCGGACGAGCTCTGAAGAGTATTGCGTGCTCCAATATAAGTTCGGGTTAACAAACCTTTCAGAGAACATTCTTATCAAAAAACGATGAAATATCACTGATAAGACTTTTGTATGAATGATTTTAGCGAGAGCAACGCTCATGCTAAGAAACGCTCAAACTGGGTGGAGATAACGGGAAAGAACTGCTATACCACGTTCTCTTCTTCTAATATCATAGTCATGAATAGAGAATTCGAACAGAATTATGCGTTGATCTGAGTAATTGGAACCTGAACTGCACTAATAATCAAAAAAAAATATCAAGAATTGTCGTTGAAGTGGGATCGCATGTAACAAACAGCACTATTTTGACGAATTACTCATTCTTTCATTATTATTTGAGCCAACATGTCATGTGGTCTGGTAAAGGCTCTTGTACAGCCCCAGACACGTGTTTCGTCCTTACAGACTCATCAGCCGGGCAGAACCCGTCGTTTGTCGATCTTTTCATAGTCAGTTCTCTCGGGAGCGTCACACTCCTTATATATAGTTATCGACGACCTACGCTTTACACTCTATGTCAGGTGAAACATTCACCTAACACAGAGTGTTTTCGCACTCGATTGCTAGCTGGCTGGTATTTTTATCATATTATAGAGAACTGACTATGAAAAGATCGACAGACGACGGGTTCTGCCCGGCTGATGAGTCTGTAAGGACGAAACACGTGTCTCGGGCTGTACAAGAGCCTTTACCAGACCACATGACATGTTGGCTCAAATAATAATGAAAGGATCTATTGAAATTTGAGCGTGGTCTTAATAAAGCACTCGAACGAAAGGTAGAATTACTCATTGTTTTCCAATTTTCAGCCAGTGTGATTAATTTTATGCACTTTGTAATAAATTGTACGAAAACTGGAAGAAATAGGAGGTGAATTTGATCGAACTGCAGGTAAGCATAAATAAAACATCGTAGAAATGTTTGATATAGCTTCTAAATATGACCTTTTCATGAATACTTCGCTTTTTCCTTTGAAAGTGCATATTATGAATGGAGTCACGAATTCCGAAAATGACACTTATCTCTTCAATGACTTCTGAGTTTGAAATTGCCGCTTTCACTACAAGTTTATTATGGATAATTCTACCTTTTCTCTGCTTTTTCTGCATCTTGTTGTTCGAGCGTATAATAATTTCTTCCAAATTGGCAACTATTACAAAACCCGGTCTTTCGCATTTTGAAACTTTTGTTGATTCGATTTTACTTATCTAAAAAATTAGTTAATTTACAATTTGATAACCATCAAGATCAGTGAATGTAGCCGTCTACAGAACTATTATTGGATGCCTCTTTTCCAGAAAGAATAAGACTGGTGATAAAAAAAAGTTGGTGAGATCTTTTTTGAGCTGGCTGTAGTCTTTGAAAATTTTTTTGCGCAGATGCTTCAGGGTGCGGAAGAGATGAAATCCGATAAAACGACATCAGGGATATATAGTGCAAGTGACCGTGCTGCCCAGTTTCTCTAAAATGTGACGAGTAGAGTTTGCATTGATTGTCACAATGGCGGCCAATGGATGAGATGTCCATCGAGACATCACTTTGCGGTAGCCAATTTCTTTACATGGCGATCGACGGTGCCCCGACCGTGTCCAAGTGTCCATCCAAGCCGTTAAAACATTCCCCAAAATACCACATCCTTTTGTAAATAATCCGATGAAAGATGGTAGTGCGGAAGAGGTTATGGAACAACCCAATTTATGTGTGATCATTGAAACAACTTTTGTTGACAAGCACCACTCTTCTGTAGAAGTGAAGACAGGAAGAACGACGTTTCGGTGAAAATGCGTTTCGCATAGAAAAAGTCATGAGCACGAAAAATCTAGCATTAGTAAGTTTTTGGTTGTAAGAAGAATCGCAGCAGTCTCCAACAAAAATTTCTACACTATAAATAACATAACAACTTTTATATGAATGACTGAAGTGAATTGAGCTGTGATCAAATCTCTTTTCCACTTTGTGTTTCTGCCGATAGGTTTTCCTGGAGCTTTTCATGTTAGACGTCCTTTCGTGATTGGATACACACTTCTCCGTCATCGCAAAACTCAGTGACCACGTTTCAGAATCTTAAGAAGAGTAGCTGAATTCACTTTCTTCTGAAATTCTTCTCATTTTTAATCTGTTATTACTTAATCAACTCGTTGTTGTCACGTTTTCAAAGCTTGCTATCTTATTTATGGTGTAGCTATTTAGCGAAAGTGCACGTCCATCTAGTGACAAGTTTTTATTTCAACGACTGTGCTGCATTTTCGGCTTTGAGGACGAGATTGAGAGGCCTTTCATATTAGGCCGTTCCATAAGTTTTACACTAGAGCAGTAAACACCGAATTTATTAACCAGAAGTAATTAAAATTGCATGACTTCGGTATCATTCAATCGCGCATTTTCTTGTGATCATCTTGATATTCAACGAGCCTATACATACTTTGAGATAAAGCTGTTGTGGAAAACAATTCGCTTGCTACTCGTGCACGAAGAGCGTGTAGAGTAAAATGATAGGGAAGGGGCGCGCATAACTAACAGAGCTTTCTGTGAAAGGCTCGAGCCGACTGATCCTCCAAACTGTTCTCTCCAGCTTTGAACTTCGCAAACACTTCTTAGGTGTACTTTCTGTAGCAGTATTGTCGCCTAAGTTCTATCAGTCTTGAGCGCCATTTCATAAGCATTTCCTCTACGCGCCATTCGTGGTTGAGTAGCAAGCAAATTTTTTTCCACGACAGCTCCATTTTAGGGTAAGTATAGGCAAATCGTCTATTGAGATATTTATGCAATTTTAATTCTGGTTAGTAGATTTGGTATTTGTTGTTCTAGTGTCAAAGCGTATGTAACGATCTAATGAGTTTAGTATTATGCTTTTCGTATTCTGTTGCCTCCAATAGGATTTTAGATGTCGAATAATTATGATGCCGTCTTTCTTCAAAAGTAACTTTTCTCCTGTATCCAATAGAGCGCATGTGCTGCAGTGGTTAGAGGTGCTCTACGTCGCACACGAGGTCAATGGCTCGATCTCGCACTCATGGATCACCAAGCCATCCATCACTCCGGGGCCGGTAAACTGGTACCAGGTAGGTCTCAGACTTCTTTGGAAGGATAAACAGCACTGACTTGCTACAGCTGGAGGCCAGCGTGAGTCATTGTAAGGACCAGATAAGCATTCAAGAATCTCAAATGAAGTTAAAAATTTGAGACGATTGCATGGCGCTCCCCTCAGGGTTTGGTCAACGCCGAAGGCTTTGTCCTTTTTATCCATATTGAATACATTGAATTCACTTTAATAAATTTTTTTCTTTAGTTATCCAGATTTAACAAGAGGTTATGGGATTGCTGTGCAAATGAATTTTGAGTTTCCAAATTCCTCTAAATTAGAACCTCGGAAATCTTATTTTCCAGCTAATTCAGAGCACACAGAAGGCTTGAGTGTAATTTTTTTTTACTCAGTCTATTGGGGAGAAAGAGCAAGCAATCAAATTGTAGATGCAATCACATCTGGAAAAAGTTTTTTCAATATCTTGCGATCGGCTATCTTGAGTCTTCGCTTAAAAATTCAATATGGCCTGCTGGTTTCGTACGCAACTTTAACACACAATCTGTGTCGTAAATAGAGAGCTAATTGAGCGAATAACCGTGCCAGACTGTCACAGTGAATTTCTTTCGTGTTAAGTGGTGCTCACATGGTTTTCTTGAAATAGTCGCTCTTTTGTTCACTCCTTAGCGAGCAAAAAAAAAGAAGATCAACCAAACAATTCACAGGTCAGAGAAGGTTCCAATTTCTTCGAGCATTTGAGGAACTTCTAAATGGCACAGGTTCGCTATAATTTACTCACACTGACTGTGATCTATTGTATACGAACAGTTTTTGAGCGTCTCATCGAGTTTTGTCATGCAGGTACCTATTACAGGATGTTTGATGCAGATATGTTACAGTTTGGGTTAACCTCAACGAAATGGTTTCATTACTTCTCTATTAGAACATTTCGTGAATATCCAGTTATTCATAATGGGAGTGCAAGCGCGGTAAATTAGCTTCTCTAGTCTATTACCCTTTATCCAGTAAACATAAAACGAATCATATTGATATTCCTACATCCAAATAGAACATTTTCCGAGCCACGGGGATTATGATCCAAATGAAGTCATTGTCCACTTGCGATATTGACTCTTTGCTTCTTTATAACGTTATGGTCGAAAATGCAAGCATTTTGAACATAAGGGGATGACATTTCAAGGTTTCAGACATCAACCGATCACAACAAATGAAATCCACTATTGAAAATACTGTTAACGGTCTCTATTTCTTGAAAAGTGTATTTCTTGAAAAGTACCATATCATCAAAACATAAAGTTCTTACATATCATATCATACCTACTATTCTCTTCACTTCGGCGGAAGCTTCTCTTCTTGTCAACTTCTAAGCTTGATTTTTCTGAACTTCTTAGCTATCTAAATCTAATCTGTCTCTATCGAAACTCATTACTAAATCATTTTTATCTTTTTCCTCAAACGATACATAATAAAAGCTTCAGAACAAAACTGTTTATTCAGTCTTTCAACAACATCCGATGGAATAGATATGTACAATGTAAGGATGTTGCTGGTGAGAAAGGCAGATAAACAAGGGGAACCGGACATCAAACATCGAGAGATCTGAAATATCAAGTGAATTGCTCTCGTACAAATGGCGCGGGAAAATATGAAAATTGAAAGCAAATCGTAAGGTAATTCAAAATTTAAGACAAAGTTTAA